TGAATTACCTGGATTGAGAGGCTGCTGCAACCAAAAAATTCGATTCTTGAGAATTAGAATCTCGGTATTAGAAAAAAAATATTACCTTCCCCGCTCTCTCATAAACAAAAATATTCACCTTCAGATGTTAACATGTAATTCTCCTCATCTGCACGATTCGACATTTGTCCCACTTTAGTACATGTGTCCACATGAATTTCGTTTGTACTATTAGAATTCGTGAGTATTGGTGATGCCAAAATTTTCTTTCTGCTATTTTCGGGATCCAATGGAGATTTAATAAGACTATTTCCTTCATCTGTTTCTTTTTCCGCAAGTTCAGAAACTGATGATATGATATCTGTAAAGATATCTACAAGTGGGTTCAACAGCCGACGAAAATAACAATTTAAGAGAGGGAGCAATGTTTTCGGGGTAATCAGACAAAAGAATTTCTCCTAATTCAACTAATCTTCCTCGAATGACAAAAATGAGTGATCACTGCTACCAGATATTTCGATCTCAGAGGACTAGGATCTCGATATTAAGAAAAAATTGTTCTCTCCTCGGCGTATTCATGCAAAAATATCAACCTTCAAATGCCAAGCGGGGAGTCCGTTCAGCTGCAGACTTTGGAAAGTTTTTTATTTCAGTACAAGTGTCTATATATATGTCTATGTCTGTATTATGCAAATCTGCTGATGGATGATGGAAATTTATCTCGGATGTTCTCAGAATTGATCTTATTTTCTTCACTCAATTTTTCTCTCCCAAATTCGGAAACCAATGATGTCCTATCTGTAACGATATCTACGAGTGAAATCAATTTATGGAGATGAGAAAAATTTGCGGGAGAGACAAAATATTATTGTGATATTGTAATAGAAAAACTGCTCTTGATGGAAAATAACATTTCTCTTTGAAATTGACAATTTAAAAAGTGGCAGGTAAGAAACAATTCCTTCTACCACTTGTGAATAAATTAAAATATGAACCTTCGGATGTTAACAAATGATTTTCTCCATCTTCACGTTTTAAGACTTGGTTTTCTCCAGTACAAGTGTCTACATATATTTGACATGTATCATTCAAAAGTGTGGAGTTCAGCGATGATGGCAATTTGTCGCTGCTACTTCCAGGATGTAATGTGGATATATCGATCATGTTGTGTTCACCTGAATTTTCCACCTTTAGAAGATCTGATGTTTGATTAGTACTATTAGCATAATTGCCCGTGGCACTTTCCGACTCCAACTCTGAACCCTCTCCTTCTTCACCTGCGAAAAAGTTGATCAGCCACATGAGAATTCAAATTGCTATTACTATTTGAAACTGTATCTTTATGAGAATCCATCCAAACCAAACTTTACATTCTGATGATGTCCAAGTAAAGAAAAAAATACGGAAATAAGAACCCCATCCCATTAGCATCAAACTATTAACTCGACTCTAGGAATATTTAATTGTGTACAGGTTGCCAAGAATCGAACCTTCAGGTAAGGACATAAGCTTCTGTCTGCAGTTGTTATTTGAGATTTCATCTTTTCCAGTATGTTGGAGTTCTACGGCCCCTCTAAATATATTTTGTAACTCCGTGGGCATCGAGGATGGAGTTTTCATCGCTTTGTCATCACCATTCATTGGAGATTTTCCATTTCAGAGGAACCTGTCATTTTCGTGTCAGATGTCTGTGGTGATTCAGCTGTAACATTATTTTCTATCTAGACTAACACAATTACCTAAAAGACGATCCGATAGACATTAGACTATTGTCAACAGCAATTCAAATTTTATTCTTCTTTAAACACTCATTCTCAACTCAAGTGTACGACGAATTAATTAATTCAATTTACACTTCAGCGTGCAGTAACTGGCTAGTTACTACACACCACAATCTAAAATAATGTACGCTACTCGGGCGTAAATTTTGTTTTTCACACGTGTTATTACAAACCTCGCCTTCGGCTCGGCTTGTACCTCAACCTCACACGCGGGAAAAACAAAATCAACGCCCTTGAAGCGTAATATACTATTAATAATGGAAGTGTTCACAATGCTACGGATTGAGAAATAATTTCCTACCAAATTGAAGGACAATTCATCTATATCAACTGGATAATTCACAATAGTACACTGCGACGTAATTTTCGAAGGTTCACGGAACCCTTCGTCCATCAGCCCGCCCTCTGGCACCAAATCACCCCGAAAATAAAATCGAAAATTTAGTCAGGCGCCAGGTCATTAAAAACGGAATGACCACCGTAAACAAAATCCTTCTCC